GGGCAGGCAGGAGGAGGCAGGGAGCTGCAGGGGACAGGCAGGAGCAGGCAGCGGAGCAGGCAGGGAGCTGCAGGGGACAGGCAGGAGCAGGCAGGGAGCTGGGAGCTGCAGGGGACAGGCTGGAGCAGGCAGGGAGCTGCAGGAGCAGGCAGCGGCGCAGGCAGGAGCAGGCAGCAGGCAGGTCAGCATTGGTGGTTCAGTGGTAGAATTCTCGCCTGCCACGCGGGAGGCCCGGGTTCGATTCCCGGCCAATGCAGCAGCCTTTTTTTTTTTTTTTTTGGAGTGGGGGGAAAAATGCAGTGCCACAGCACACCAGCCAAATTGTCTTTTCTTTTATTTTCCCATATTTATCCCTAGAATACCCCATTTTATTCAAATCTATGGCAGAAGAGCTTTGCAACGCCAACAGCAAGTTGAATCCCTTTACCGTCTACCCCCCTGGGGCTGGCCCCCACCCTGCAGCAGGCAGGACCAGGGCACCCCGGGGTGCTTTTGCACCTCAGGGTCCCCACTCTGTTCCCTGGTTGTGCTGATGTGGCAGTGCTGCTCTGCCTGTCAGTAGAGGCAGTTGGCACAAGGGGGCAGGAGGAGCCCAGTTTATCCTGTGGTGCTTTGTCACCCTTGCTGGTAAGAGCCCCTTGGGTCCCTCAGATTCCACCTGGAGTCATGCCCCAGAAGATCTGGCCAGGAGGAGATGTCGTCCTGCCTGGGAATTCAGCCTTTCCAGCCCCTTGGGTCCCTCAGATTCCACCTGGAGTCATGCCCCAGAAGATCTAGCCAGGAGGAGATGTCCTGCCTGGGAATTCAGCCTTTCTTCTGCTTGTGTGGTATCTCCAGGTGTTGGAATCTAGACTCTGCAGCCCTCAGCTCCTTCTTCAAGGCTGGTTGAAACCATCGGAAGGGTGTCTTTGGGTCTTCATTGCAGAGGAGGAGACCCAGTTTGGGGCAGAGGTCTGAAGCTGTGCAGCCTGCATTTTGCTGAGTAGATGCAGTCCTGTGCCAGCTTCATCCAGTGCCTTTAGCAGTGGAGAAGAGCTTGACAAGGAACGTAGAAAGCTCACGGCAGGCAGAAAGGATCCTTGGACATCCGTAGACCCTCAAATGATGGCTGGTGATGCCTTTGCAGAAGGTCGTGGAACCTCCTAGTCCTGCTCCTCACCTTCTCTGCCATCTCACTAACTGTGGCTCCTCTTTGTCTGCCCCCAGGTTCTCTGGATGCATCCGGTGACTCCAACTTCAGCAACAACAGTGTCTTCACAGTAACCAGGTAGGGTCTGTGTGTCGCTTCAGAGGGGCTTGAGAAGAAGGGAAGGCTTCTTGGGGTACAGACGATGACTGACAAAGCTGTGGGGAAGGGTTGGTCTGGGCTGAAAAGCAGTTGGGGTCTCCTGGGTCCCAGTGGGGTGGATGACTGGGGATGCTCTAGGAGTTGACTGCTTCTCTGTGGTGCTTTTCCACCAAAATGTCTTTGATTTTATGGTAAACTGAGGTGCTTGCCCCCCCAAGGAGACCTTGCAAAGCCCCTCAGGGAGGTCTGGTGCTGGGGGGGGCTGCACCCAATGCCGTGCCATCCAGCTCCAGCTGCCGGAGAGGCAAGGGATCTGCTGCCAACCTGTCCCCCCCACCAACCTGTCCCATCGTAACACACCCCAGAGCACCTCCAGCCTCACCAGCTTGATGCTCTTTCCCCCTCCATTCCTTTTTTGCAAAGCCCAGCAGCTCCCTTGGTCTTCATGATGCCCTTCGTTTTGTTTTTTCCTCTCTTGAACGTACAGATCTTTACATTTTGTCCCCAGATTTTGGGTTTTGGCTGTGAATTGGTTTTCCCCAGCTTTTCTGTCGCCCCTGCATCCTGGGCCCCACACAGCCCTTTGAGGGTGTGTGTAGGGCTGAATTTGGGAAGGGAAAAGGAAAAAGGAGAGGCGTTAAATCAGGAGGACGAGTGAGAACTGAAGAAGTGGCACCTGGGGGGGAGACAGGGAGCGACCACCAAAGGGGACAGTGACTTGCTCACAGTGTCACCAAGAGCCAGGAGGAGAAGGGCTCCCCAGAGCAATCTGCTGGATCTCCAAGCGCTGGGGAAAACCATCCAGGACAACAGGCGAGACCTTCCCCATCTCTAAGAGACCTGCTTTTGTTCTTAAGCCCCTTTTAAACAAGAAACTCCAGGTTTTATCCTGGGGTTTACCTGCTCCAAAGCCCATTGTCCACCCTGTGTGACCTCTCCGCTGGCCCAGCGTTGGGACCTGGAAGATTTTCACAGTGACACCCGTTGTGGAGGACCACCATGGGGAGCCCTGGACATCTGCCAGGTGGTCCATCTCTTGCTCAAGGCTGCCTGGCCCCGGCCCTGGAGCCTGGAGGAAGGCGAGAGCTGGTCCCCAGTAGCCAGCCCCAGTTGGTGCTGGGGAGCTGCCTGCACGCCGAACGCCCACTGGGTGTCAAGACAGGACCACAGGAAACCATCACGTCGCCTTGAGAAGCTGGAAAAGCCCTCAAATGAGGATGAAGTCACTCTTTGCTTGTGTGTTTGTTCCTTTTTGTTCCCCCCCCTCTTCTTCCTCCTCCTCCTCCTGCTTCTTCCCCCCCCTGGTCTCCCCTGGCGATGGAGCGAGTGATGGAGCAGGGCCAGGCCTCCAGCTCTCACGCCCCCTTCTCCTGCCCTCCCAAAGGAGGAGGACCTCGGTCAGCAGGGGCGGAGAAGCTCACGGCCCCGGCGTCTGCAGCAAGGGGAGGGGGGAACATCTTCCATGAAGATGCCATCCAAGAAGATGACGAGGCCTTGATCGCTCCATAGGTGGATGCTGGGCACGTTCCCGTGGCCATAAACTGTCACGCGTCCCACACACACACACCCTCCCTGGCCTCTTCCCTGCTCATAGAACATGCCGTTGGTGATCCAAAAAGCTTCCAGGATGATTGCCAGCTTCTCTTGGAGGGAGCTTCCTAGTGGTGTTCCTTAGGAAATTGGGGACGGTGGCTGAGCTGAGACACAAACAGGAGTTTCTGTCCCCCCCCACCGAAGTCCAGCTGGGCTGGAGGGCCTGCAGGGCTCCCCATTGCAGGTGGGGCTTCCCACTTCCAGCTTTTGCAAAAACCATCCTTGGAAGAGGACCAGAAGCAGCGTTTTGGAGGCACTGGAAGGCTTCCTCTGGCCCAGCTGACCCCGCTGAGGCTGCAGTCCCAGTTCAGGAAGGGGAGGTGGAAATGTGGTGGCTGGAGCAGAGCCCGGGCTTCCTTCCGTCGGTCTGAGCTGCTGCAGGAGAAGACGCAGACGTCTGTCCTGCACCGCTGGACCCAAACAGCTGGGAAGTGGCTTTTTTAGGCTCTTGGAACTAACTGGGTCGGTGTTTCAGTACAAGACCTGGATGGTTTGAGACGTGCTGGGGTTTGGGTCTCAAGGCCAGGCTGGATGGGGCTTGGAGAAACCTGGTCTAGTGGGAGGTGTCCCCTTGCCCAGGGAAGGGGGTGGAACTAGATGATTTTTAAGTTCCTTTCCAACACAAACCATTCTATGATGACAGGGGGGGCTCCAGAGAAGCCTTTGTGGTCCTTTCTGATGGAAGGCTTCTGGTTTTGGGTGGTGTTCAGCAACACATGGACACGTGAAGCTGCAGAAAGGGCAAAGGGCTGCCACGTGGCTGAACTGCTTAAGGCTGTGTTTAAATCGGACTTTTAAACATGGTAGTTAGGGCTTGGTACAAAGCTAAAATTGGTGCTGCTTATCTCATGCTGGAAGTTGCCGTAGCTCCATGCCCAGAGCCCTTGAGAGTGAGCTGGGGGAGCTCATGGAGGTGATGAACACTTGGATGGAGGGTAGGGATGGTGCCGAGTGCCCTGCGGCACCCAAGGGATGGTTGGCTGAAGGCAACACGATGGCTTGTTTTGAGCTCATGCCTTGGAGTCCCGTTCTTCAGCAGCTTCTCTGGTGGAGTCTGCCTTGGTCCAGGTCTCAGGTCCTCCTGAGGAGGCTCCTCCTGACTCTCTTCTCCAGCCTGGAGCGAAGGGATGGGTTCCCTTCCCTGCTTCTACTGTGCCGTTGGGAGGATGAGGTGGAGGGGGTGACCTTGGGCACGGTGTCCCAGCCCTTGTCATGGTGACCTACAGCTTGTTGGATCCCTCTGCCTAGACCTTCGCCTCATCTCTTGGCTGGGAGAGCTGCTCGTGGGCACTTCCAGTGCTGGGAAACCACAGTAAGGAAGAAGGAAGCCAAGGAGCACTGAAATGAGAGCGATGGAGGAGGAAAAGAAAACGACAGCTTGTGGGACCAGGAGCAGAGAAGGAGCTATTTTACCTCCTGGCCCCTGGCTCGGGCCCGTCGAGCGGCACAGCTGCCAGCCCGTATGGGAGCTGCCCTTGTGACTTGGCCCACAATGAAAGAACCTGGATATTTCCACCCTTGGCAAGGCCGCTTAAAGGCTAGAGCCTGGCCTGGACCTTAACCTTCTCTGAAAAACGGGGTCAGGAAAGCAGCTGGGCCAGGCAGAAGGCCAGGAGGGAGATGACAGCTCAGGCGTTGGCAGAGAAAAGGCGACTGCTGAGGGGAGAGGGATGGCAGAAGCCCTTGAAGAGAGGAGAGAAATGAGAAAATGGGCTGATAAAGGGTGAAAAAACATCGCCGTGGGTTGAACGCAGCGGGAAAGCGAGCTGCGTTAGCTGTGCTGGAGGAGGCCTCCTGAGATGGAAACCGAGACCTGGGTGGTTTGAGATGCACTGGGGGCCACGGGTCTTCTGCCCCACCGCTCAACCTGAGCATGGGGTACCACCATCCAGAGGCCAGAGCCTGGTACAACCCCCCCATGGTCGCTCAGTTTGCCTTAAAACTGTCCTCGCTGTCGCGGGCGAAGCGGAGGAGGTGGCGCTGGGGGCCGCCTTTCGTCCTCGGGAGGAGAATCTGGGGTAGTGGGTTAGATGGAAGCGATTGCATCTGACATCTGCCCGGCTGCAGATGCCGGCGTGGAGGGCCCCGGGGGGGGGTGGGTGGCATTAATGCAATGCCATTACTGCCGCTCCCGCTCCCCGCTGCCGGGGGATTAAGGAGAGCCCGCTCCCGAGCCGCATCCACAGCAGCCATGGCCCTGCTCAGCTGCTGCTCTTCCCCCCCCTCATCCCCCTCGGAAAAAGGCAGCATCCCACGGGGATCCGGTGCTGCTCCACCTCGGAGAGATGGGAGCGTGATCGGTGGGGGATTTTTAACCCCATTTCGCAGAATCACAGAGTGGTTTGGGTTGGAAGGGACCTTAAAGATCATTGAGTTCCAACCCCCCTGCCCTGGGCAGGGACACCTCCCACCACACCAGGTTGCTCCAAGCCCCCTCCAACCTGCCCTTGAACCCCTCCAGGGATGGGGCAGCCACAGCTTCTTGGGGCAACCTGGGCCAGGCTCTCACCATCCTCACACCAAAGAATTTCTTCCTGATATCTCATCTCAATCTCCCCTCTTCCAATTTAAAACCATTCTCCCTTGTCCTGTCCCTGCACTCCCTGACAAAGAGTCCCTCCCCAGCTCTCCTGGAGCTCCTTCAGATATTGGGAGGCTGCTCTAAGGTCTCCCCGGAGCCTTCTCTTCTCCAGGCTGACCAACCCCAGCTCTCTCAGCCTGTCTCCATCCCTCTGAGCATCTTCCTGGCCCTCCACTGGACCTGTTCCACCAGGTCCGTGTCCTTCCTGTGCTGAGGACTCCAGAGCTGGACACAGGACTCCAGGTGGGGTCTCACGAGCGCAGAGCAGAGGGGCAGAATCACCTCCCATGACCTGCTGGCCACACTTCTCTTGATGCAGCCCAGGGTTGAACTTCTCATCCACCAACACCCCCAAGTCCCTTTCCTTGGGGCTCCTTTCTAATACCTCATCCCCTAGTCTGTGTTTTGCATGTTCATCCAACCTCTTGCCCTTCAGGATGACACCCTGGTTTTGTGCTGAGTCCATGAGCCCCTTTTCCACCGGCCACCCCCCCCCCCAAAAAAAGGTTTGTCTTGGCAGATGTGGGGAGAGGAGAAGCTGGTGAGGAGCTTTGCCCGAGCTGGGTCTGACAGAGCCACAGGGTGGTGGGACATGGCATGGCCGGGGTCTGGCTGGCTGGAGGGGAGCCTGGCACTGCCAAGCCACCTCCTGGGGTCACCTTGGGTGGATTTTGGACTCGAGCCCCCCATGCCCTGCCCACAGCCTGCTCCCTGGTGGGTGCTGTGACTGCTGGGGAAGGGGTTTTCAGGAGGAACTGTGGCCCAAGCTGGGCTGGAGATGGTTTGTTGCTGTGCTGGGAGCAGTCCAGCACCCTCCTGTGACCATGCCACCCCATGTCCTCCCCCTCTGCCTCTCAGCAGAGCAGAGCTGGTGGATGTGACAGCGCTGAGGCCACCTCCAAACCAGCTGGCTTCATCCACCTCTTCTCTGTGCAGACCTTTAGGCCACTTCTCTCTGAAAACACACATTATCCTGAGCTGTTGGGGTTTATTTTTCACCCCCATCCTGCCCCATCGATGCATGTTTTGGTGTGGAGATGTAATTGGACAAGGATTCGTGCTCCTTTTCCATCAGGAGCCCTGCGTTGGGTGGGTGACAGGACATGCCACTGCAGGGAGCTAATTCTGCAGGAAAACCAGATACGGGGCTGGAGATGGTTTTTGGTGGCTTTTGGCAACTTTCACCGGCCATGCCATGTCTCTTGCTGTGCTTCTCCACCTCGTAACACCAGTCCAGCTGGTCCAGGTGGGCTTCCATCCCCTGGGATGCTATTCCCTTGGCCATCCCCTCTCCCAAACTCCCCGTGCTCTGGCTCTGGGCGGTCGCTCGCGACATCAAAGCGATGCTTAGTCCAACTCGAAATGGGATTTGGAGACCCCTCAGTGCCCGTGAGGTGATGCAGGGCTGCCGGGGGCCTCCTCCTCCTCCTCTCGCCCTGAAGACGTGTGTGTGTCCTGGGGAAGATCAAATCCCATTAAGCAGCAGCTCTGCTCCCGAATTACACCGTGAGAAATCTGCCCCTTAGGACCTGTGATCAAACGAGATGCCGAGCAGCTCGGCGCGCGCGAGAAGAATCGGCAAGTGGCTGCTCCAGCCTTGAATAATTCAGGAGCTTGGGTAGGACAGGAGTGACTTAGCTCTTCAACACAGCTCCCTCTTAGAGATCTTGCTTCAGCCACCTCAAGGCCAACCATCTCTCCTTAACCTGGGCTCCTCTGACACAGATGCTTCCACCTCCTTACCGTTGAGAAGGTGGGAAACCATCAGATAGACTTCAGGATCAGAAAATGCCATAACGTCACCTCTTCTGTGTTGGGATCTCCTGTCCCATTGCAGGTCCCAACTATTTGGGGAAAGACTGGAGAGTTTTTCCATCATAGTAAGATCTAAGTGTGTGCAGGCTGTTGGTGTTAAAAAAGAGGCAAACTCTTGGTGAACTCAGGGAGTTGTTTGCTTTAATCCCTGGTTGATGTCCAAGAGCTGTCCTCATCCTTTAGGATGGTTTTTGGGAAACAAGATGATGTTCTCAAGGCAGCCTTGTAAGAGAGAGCTGCATCCCAAAAACACTGCCAGCTGGGTCACCATCTGCAGTCCCCAGCATGAGTCTGCTGGGATTAGTGGAAACTGAATGTCCTCACCTGGTTGAGTGGCCCCAAGTTGAGTTGGAGGACATTTGGCTTGACGTTCTCTGCAGACTTTTGAGGTGGTCAAACTTGAGTTGGATTCTGAATGCGTTTTATGCATCTTTAGTCTTCAAAGCCCAAACCTGATGACTTGCAGTACAGACCAGTTTCTCAGTGCAGCCATGGTACTGGGTTCATGTCACGCGGTGTCTTTTCATGCAGAGGTACCAGCTGTTTCGGGAAAGTGGTAAACTTTGAAGCCTGGAAGATGTCTGTTGTTTCCCGGGCAAGTTTTGGGTGTGCTGCCATGTCTCTTGCTGTGCTTCTCCACCTCGTAATACCAGTCAGAAGCTACCTGTGCCACACGGACAAACCTGGCCGTGTCCGGCCATGACCCTTAGGCTTTCCACCCTGGAGCTTGCGTCCTGGCTGTCATAGCTCTTGAAGACTTGAGTTCTTGGGTTTGCCATGAGCAGTAAGAAATTTGGGTGACTAGGCTGAGGGGGGCAGGAGCAGGCCCAAGGGGACAGTTGAGGTTTCTTCGGGTTTGCGTCAAGATGTTTGGTGCAGCCTTCGGTGTGTTGTGGACCTCCCCACCATGGGAGGAATGAGTTGGACATCACAGCGCTGACCCAGCCTCTCTCCTTTCCACACAGCTCCGAGAGGATCCAGGTAACCCTGAACCTGGATGGGATAGTTCAGGTGCTGGACTGCCACCTTCATGACACGTCCATTGGGATGATGACCAGAATTGCGGTGCTGAAATGGCTCTACCACTTATACATCAAGACTCCTCGTAAGGTAGGTCAGGGACTTGACGCGTGAGCTTCCTCCACGGGGTTGAGCTCATCTGGTCCCAGCCTGCTCTTTGCCAACCAAGTGTCCACCTGCCTTTTCTGAGAAGGCTTTGGCTGCTGGATACCTGGTAGCTTAAGGAAGAGGAGCTCTCCAGCTCAGGTGGAAAATGCTAGTGGGGCTTTTGGCAGCCTACCCCAGGGTGAGGGGGCAGGGGGTGACCAGGCCTGTAGGATTGAAGCCATCCTTCTTTCTGGTTCTAGATGTTCCGACACACTGACAGCCTCTTCCCCATCTTGCTGCGGACCCTCTCAGACGAGTCGGATGAGGTGAGTGCTGCAGAAGTCCTCCTGAAAGCTTACTGTCTCCACATCTGGCAAGGCTTTGGATTTTTTGGGTTGAACCCAGGGATTTTGTGAGGCTTGGCCAGTGTTGGCACAGGGGGGTTTAACCCTGTTGGCTAAATGGAAGAAGACCCAATGCAGAGCCTGCAGGTGACTCCCTGGCTGAAAGCCCCACCGTCTCAGTTAGGCTGGTGTGCTTGGGACCTTCTGTCTCTATAAACCTTCTCCTTCTCTGAGAGTTGAGTATGGCTTTAAGCTAAAAAGAGGGAATATTTAGACTAGATACAAGGGAGACATTTTTTACACTGAGGGTGGTGAGACACTGGCCCAGGTTGCCCAGAGAGGTGGGAGATGCCCCATCCTTAGAAATATTCCAGGTCAGGTTGGATTGGCTTTGAGGAACCTGCTCTAGTTGAAGACGTCCCTGCTCATTGCAGGGGAGGTTGGGCTAGATGGTCTTTAAAGGTCCCTTCCAACCCAAACAATGATTCTATTCTATGATCCTTCAAAGCCAACTCCTAAAAATTCTGTTTGCCTGCCTGGGAAGACAGCTTGGGGCTTCAGATCTCAGAGCTGATGTCTTCCTTATGGGGTTGAGTCATGGTCAGGGCCTTGGTGAGTGGGACTCCAGGCTCTGTAGAGATGCAAGGAGGATCATGTCCAACTGGTGCCGCAAAATCCAAGTCACGGAGTGGTTTAGCAGCACCCACCACTGGCAGGGCAGCATCAGCCTTGCCTGGTGGGGCTGCAGTAGGTGCCCACAAACTTCTTCTCCACCACAGGCATCACTGAGACCAATGTGGCTTGTGCTCTGGGCATACTTCTTCCTTTAGCCCTTTGTAGCGTCTCCAACTCAGAAATCAGGCGCTACCTCATAGTCTGGGCTATCACACTGTGGGACATCTGCCCCAAGCCCCTCTGGGAGTCATCTGGCTATCTGGTTGCCTTCTCTACATTGGATTTGCAGGGGCTGGGAACTTCTTGGCTTGGAAGTGAGGAAAGAGGCAGCTATGAGTGAGCCAGCTCACTCTGCCTTCGCTCTCCTGCCTGCACCTTGCCCTCCCAGCGCAGTGCTCTTCAACTCCCAGACCTTCTCCAGGTGCTGCACCATTTTTCCCCATTTCTTTGTCTTTCTTCCTCGCTCCTCTTCTCTCGTTCCAGTCTTCTCCCTTTTCATAGAGTGGTTCAGGTTGGATGGGATCTTAAAGATCATGGAGTTCCGCCCCCTGCCCTGGGCAGGGACATGTCCCACCAGATGGAAGGTGTCCTTTCCTTTTGGTACGCTTCATTTTTGGCGTCTTCTCCCCCTCTCCATTGCACCCTTGGAGCATTTCAGTGCTGGGGTGGGAAGCTGGCAGCTTGGGCGCTGGTAGAACTTCTGCCATCAGCTGGATACCTCTTGCCTAGAGCTGTGAAGGATCTGGGATAGGGTTTTTTTGGCAAAGGGGACCCCATTCCTCCTGGAATCCACACCATGCTCTCTCTGTGTTGCCTGACACCCTCAAGGGCATCAAACCCCATCCCCACCATAAATCCCATGTGTGATGTTGGGGAGGGTTATTGAGAGAGGAGGGAAGGGGGGGGATAAGGAAAGCAGGGGAATGACTCGGGCTCGCAAAGGCGAGCCACCGGCTGGCCGTTTTCCATCCCCTGCTGCTTACGCTGCAAACCTTTCCAAAAAAGAGTCCCCCAGCACACATCTGCCTTTGCAACGCTCCAGAAAGCCTGCATCTTGCAGATAGTCTCCCCGGCTTGGCAGGAGATCGCCGTGAGTCATGTTGCAATTACACTGCTTATTAATATTTGAAAAAAAAAAAACCAAACCCCCAAAAAAAAGCAGCGCAGAAAGGACCCTGGTGATGCATTTCCTCCATGTGACACAGCTGGGAATGGCTCAAAAGTAATTTTTAAGCTGATTTATTTAATCCTGCCTTCTATTTATTTAAATGTTGGGAGGTTGGGGTGTGGGGTTTTTTCTTTTTTTTTTTTTTAAGGAAATCCATAGACGAGTCGATGCGTTAAACACCGCTGCTCAGCTGGCTCCCGACCAGATTCGCCGCTCTCTGCAGAGGAAATAGAAACACCCAAAAATAGTCGGGGGGGGTTTTTTGAGCTTGGGTGTTTATGGGGGACGCTGAGGACACGCTGAGCTAGTTCACCTGCAGTGCCCGTGCCAGTTAGAAGAGGGGACATGGGGTGTTTTCTGACCCACCCCTCCCTGCTCGCTGTGGTATTTTGTAGTCGCCGTTTGTGTTGTCCTGGAGCAGATGGGGATCCCCAGAAGCTCTTGGCTGACGGGCTGAGGATCTCTGGTGGGGTCCCGTGTGGGCTTCCCCATGGGTTCTCAGGTGGGGAAACATCTCTCTCCCCTTTCCAGGGAGGGCTCCGTGCGTTGTGTGGTGAAGCACAGGGTGTAACACGGGTTCTCAGGGTGGGTTTTTTGCTGTCTTCATCCTGCCCCGCTGCCATCCCCAAGGGAAGGCTGGTTGGGTACCATCTTTCTTCCCAGAAAGGCTGAACGTCCTTTTGTAGCACCCGCAGAGCCCCCAGCCCCTGTGGGAGGTTTGGAGGCTCTCCCCAAAGCTGCCCTGGAGCAGTTGTTTCTCACTTCGCTCCTCACCAAAGGAGGACCTGGCTTTGGAGGGTCAGTGGAGGACTCCCTGACTTAGGTCAGAGCTTTGCATCAGGCTTGAAGGATGATGTTCAAGCACCCTATTGTTAAGGTCTGGCCTTGCCAAGCTGCTCTCTGGCAGCTTCAGCGCTGGTAGAACTTCTGCCGTCAGCTGGATACCTCTTGCCCAGAGCTGTGAAGGATCCTTCAATCCTGTGAAGGATTCCTTGTGGTAGGCTACCCAGGGAGGTGGTTGAGTCACCATCCTGGATGTATTTAAGGAATGTTTAGATGCAGTACTGAGGGATATGGTGTAGGGGAGGACTTTGTAGAGTAGGGTAGATGGTTGGACTTGATGATCCCAAGGGTCTCTTCCAACCTAGACGATTCTATGATTCTATCCTGGCTCTGGGGTTGGTTTTTTTTGGAGGGGGCAGACCTTCCTCCTGGAATCCAGACTGTGCTCTCTGGACTGTGTGTACTCGCCCTAAATAATCAAGCCCAAAGCGAGGAGAGGCACAGGCTGGATGGAGCTGGGTCCGTGCCCTTTTGAGTTGTCACACCTGGTTCTTACTGTTCCAGCAAGGCGAGGTGTTGCACCACCTCCAACATGCTGAGCAGGGGCCGGTATCTCCCGGTGGGTCCTGAGTCATCTCTGCCTTCTCCTCCGCTCCTCTTCCTCCCCCGTGAAGAAAGGGTCAAGAGACCTCGTTAAGATGCACAAAGGCATCGATGGAGCAGGAGCTGAAGCAAGCGATTCCCTTTGATGTGTAGAGCAGCCGGGATGCAGGATTCCTGGCTGTCAGACTGCTGCACTGCGTCACCCCCGGCGGGGAGATGCCCCATCCCGCATCTGAGGCCTGGTTTTGAAGGCAGTCTTTAAAAGCCCTGCTGAAAATTTCATGCGCCTTAAAAACTTCAAGACTAACAGGATCTGGGAATGTTTTTTTTTTCTGTTTTTTTTTTCCTGCACGAGCTGCTCCTCCGGTCGGGGCGAGTCTCGCAGCCCTGACGCCTGGTTTCAAGAACCGATGTTAGAAAAGGTGAAAAGCCAAAGCCCGAGCACCTCTTTGGAGCCGGTGGGGTTGGACCTTTCCACCCGCAGGTTAAAAGCACTGCTGCTGGAAAAAAGAGCTGCTTTTTGGGTTATCTCCCTCAGCAGGCTCCTAGTGCAAAGGCAGCTTCTGATGGAGCAGTTCCATTGTCCTTCCTGGCTGGACCAAGGTGCTGGACTGGGTTTGAAGTCCCACCTGGACTTCAGGTGGGCACCCCGGGCGGTGAGGGCATCTCTGAGGAAACCCTGACGCAGCAAGGCTGCTGCCTTTCCTTCTTGGCTTTGTTTTCCTTCCTCCGGCTCCAGAATGGAGCTGTTTCTTCACGTGTTCCTGTTTTGCTTATCTGCTCCTCTCGATCTTGCTGGGGGTTGGAAGTTGTGCTGGGACTTTTGTCTGACTCATGCAGGGGATGACGCACGAGGCGGTGTCTGATGTGGAGCAGGACAGACTCCGGCTTCCTCTCAGCTCCCCTAACGTGAGAACCTACCTGTGTTGATGCATAGAATAGAATCATAGACTACAATTGAGTTTAATGAAAACGTAGTAAAAAGAGAGCAAATACAATACCGTAACTAGGGTGTCACAAATGAGAACCAAAACGTGAGGAGAGAGAAAAGGGGAAAAAACATCCTACCAATTTTCTTATTGGTGAACTTAAAAGGATAGACCGGTCAAAAAAGTTACATTTAGCATAGAATCATAGAATGGTCCAGGCCGGAAGGGACCTCCAAAGGCCATCTAGTCCGACCTCCCCGCAGTCAGCAGGGACACCCCCAACTAGACCAGGTTGCCCAGGGCCTCGTCGAGCCTCTCCTTGAATATCTCCAGGGAAGGGGCCTCAACCACCTCCCTGGGCAACCTGTTCCAGTGCTCCACCCCCCTCACAGTAAAGAACTTCCTCCTCATCTCCAATCTAAATCAGCTCTTCTCCAACTTAACACCATTGCCCCTCATCCTGTCACTGGAGACCTTTGTAAACAGGTTCTCCCCAGCCTTCCTGTAGCCCCCTCAGGTACTAAAAGGTTGCTCTAAGGTCTCCCCGGAGCCTCCTCTTCTCCAGGCTGAACAACCCCAGCTCCCTCAGCCTGTCTCCATCCCTCTGAGCACCTCTGAGCAAAAGAAGGCTCCAGGGAGACCTTAGAGCAGCCTCCCAATATCTGAAGGAGCTCCAGGAGAGCTGGGGAGGGACTCTTTGTCAGGGAGTGCAGTGACAGGACAAGGGGCAACGGTTTTAAATGGGAAGAGGGGAGATTGAGATTAGATACCAGGAAGAAATTCTTTGCTGTGAGGGTGGTGAGAGCCTGGCCCAGGTTGGCCAG